GTATTCCATATGATTTTACACCAAGAAAAGAATACTTCCTCCCCCTTTGGCAAAAAGGTCATAAAAAGTATCTACTGTAGTCGTTATAGAAATATTGTAAAATGCGAGCAGCTTTAAATAGTTACTAGACATATGCAAATGTCGAAAATTGCTTCTATTCGTTTCACATGATTGTCAATGAAAAATTATTTGAATTTTATGTTTGATTGTTAAGCGTTATTTGCACATGCCTGTTACAGAATTAGGTGTACTCGCACGCAAATAGAAAGTGAAAGAGTCACTCTCTGAAATTCAACACGCTTTACGCAGGGAAAAAATCGACTCACCTTCTTGCACGTCAATACCCTCTTGCTTGAGTAACTCCCGTAGCTTCTGAATCTCTTCTTTGAGCTCTCTGATAAGCTTCGCGTTCGCGTCCTCGTTCACAACAGCCTTGCATACTATTTGCTTCGCTCTGTCTGCGTATCTGTAGTTTACATAAATAGAAACAATGAAAATAATTACACGAAGAAATATAGGATTGCAGTTTCAAATATTTCTCATGAAAAGAAATGTGCAAATAGAAGGAATTAAATAATAAGAATGTTTTATTTGTTCCACTTTCTATTCACTAGAATGATAGTTATTTAACAAAAGTGAACTGTTAAGAAGGAAGCTCGTTGATAATTTACAGAAATTTCAATGCCACTTGGAGGTATGAATTCTAAACGAGCAGAGATTTCATCTAACTAGAATCGGACGTTCTCACGTGCAAGCTTCGAAGAAACTCAGACGGATCAAAGAAGTCAGCTAATGAACGTGAGAATGGAAGAGTAAAATTGCAAGGGTATAACGAATAACTGTACCGTAAGGTTGAGAGGGTTTCGTCGTAATTGATGTCTGCTGGACTCACTGCTGCAATCATCGCTGTTTTAGAGTTTCCTCCTAGATTCTCGCGTAGCAGCCACGTCAGAACTGAGTCCCTATAGGGGATGAAATCAGCCTTCTTCTTCTTTTTAGTCGCCTGAACAAACAAATGTAACATTTTACTTTCTATACTATCACGTTTCCTTTTCTACTGAAAATATATGCAAAAGTTCTGCACACACATAAATAGTAGGTAAACTACTATTATCGATTAATTGATTTTAAATGAAATAAAAGGGTTGAAGAATCGTGGACACGTAAACTTACCGCCTAAGAATCCATAGAAAAACGACAGCAGAATAGACAGAAGACACGGATTACGTTAACTCAAAGTTTAGACAATATCTGGGCAACTTTGAAAGGTTATAATTGTGCAACTTTCATATCGTGCAAGGTATTATCTAACGTGAGCACGAACGTTTTCTGGTCACGCGAGTATTTTCTATAGTATCCTCCTTAGCTTTTAGAATGAATCTAATTTTCTTTTTTCCTTATTTTTTCTTTAGTGTGATTTACAGAGTAGTGATATTATATTTCTTTGTAATAAGGAAAATATAAGATAGAAATTATGCTGTTTTTGTGTACCACATCGATAGGAAGTCTTTTTATACATAGCGTTGTTTGAATATATCTTATTTCAGAGAAAATAAATATTTGCTTACAATTTCAGCCAAAGCACTGATGACCTTTCCAAGAGTTGTCAAGCTTTTGTTGATATTAGCACCTTCCTTTAACCTGGTGCCCTTTGCACCGGTAGAGTCAGCCCTTTCAGAACCTGCTAAATCGACCAGCGAGATTTTGCTGACTTTCTCTGTCACTAATCCAGTCGCTGAGTCTTGCTTTTGTTGCGTAAAGAATATCGTGAACACAGCGTGAGATCTGCTAGACGTCTCGTTCATATTTGTGGCTGCCACAGTTCTGAAACGTAGAGAAACAAACGCATGATTTTACTTTTTAAAATAGTTAAAAAGCTATATATATATGAAATATCAATTAATAGGTTCTAGGTGAAAATATTCGATACTTCCACTTTAAAGGCATTTCAAAGAAAGTCATGGTTACATACAAAAAGAGCGTGAATTGCAGTTTTTATTATGACTATCACAGAAATCTCTGAAATCTAAGTGACCTATGATCTATCCTATCATTAATATTTTTTGTACATAGGTATACCTACCTTGCTTTATTGCCTTCATCAATAAGATCATGGATATCTTCATAGGACATCACAGCTAATTTCGACAGGTCCTCGACGTACGGTCCAAGCAGAGGATGCTCTCGTACACGAAGGTTTCCTTTGTTCTTGGGGTTTAAAAGATCTCGTACCCTTTCGCAGTATATCTCCATGAAACTGACTTCCACCGAATACTTCAGGCACTCGTTTGAATTGCGACTGATTTTTCTAAAGAGGTCCTTGCAAATTTGAGGTATTATTCCCTCTTGACCTTCTTCTTGTTTCCCCATCATGGTGTACGATTTGCCGGCACCGGTCTGACCGTACGCGAATATGCATACATTGTAGCCTGCGTAGAAACAAGGTGTTGAAACAAAAAGAAAATAGAAATAAAAGTATCGATTTAAGCTTAGAAATTTATTTCGCTAAATCATTCGATTCAAATGAAAGTTTTCTCACGAACACTTCAGAATAAAAGCGAAGAATTTCGCGTATATTCATATTTGGCGAATATGTGTCAAGAACGTATGAGAATCTGAACGGTCAATTCCTATTTGAACGGTATGCAAGCCCGCGTGTCGATTCCTAGACGTAAATTGCGCGGTATGCGAGAATTCGGATGCACGATGTCTGAAGTATCTGAGAAATTGTGCGATCAATCGTTGCAGACGTTCGAAGTCTTCCATTCGCCGCATTCAAGTATGCTCACCTTCGAAAGCATGTTCCAGCATCTCTTCGCCGATATCCTTGTAGACCATTAGTTGCGAAGAATAATTTCCGTCGTTTGGCTGCGGCAGAGAAAATACGCCATTTATTATACTTTCTTATTACATATCTATTTCCGATACTTGTTTCACGATATCGCGATCGATATTTCTTTACGCTTTCAGGTTTTATTTCCATCGACATTTATGCTTCTGTCTTCGTTGAATGATCAATTGCACAGTTAAGGAATTAGAAATTCGCTTACAGCATAAGCAAGAATTGTTTTTAACCAGTAAAATTGATCGACGATTTACTTCGGTGTTTTATTTCACCAGCAAATATACATGATCAGAAAATAACACAGCAAGTTAGGCTTGCTTTAATGGCAATTGATATCGATTAATGACCTTTAGTAAGCAACGACCTCGTTAATTATGCATCAATCTGTATCTTGTTTTTTAGGTATTTCTTTCCACAGAAATGAACTGACAAAAAAAAGAAAAGAATACGTTAATACTTTGCCTAATCACTCTAATATTCATCTATTTTTTATTTTTTTTCTATTCCTTTTTTCTTTACAATTTTTTTACATCCAATATATATATATATACTTTTCTTATTGCTTTTGTCTTATATACACGTAACGAAGAGTTTTAGATAAGTAAATAAATAAAAATAAAAAGATCAACTTTTCTGCTAACATTGGACACTGTTCACGTTAGATTATTAGCAGTACTGAATTAAAGGACAGGTTTAATTATCAGAGATGGATAGAAGAACTCACGTTCATGGAAAAATAGGAATAATCGTAGTTGAAGCTCTTGATCGCATCTTTACTGCCCGGTGGTGCTTTGGGGTTCAATATCGCTGTAACACGCAAGGTAGAACAATTGGTAACACAAATGAAAGCGATAACGCACATTATGCGCCCTGATTCTCCCTTTGACTTTCCATATGTAACGCATAAATCAATAGGAAGATCTTCCTTCTGAATAAATGAACGAATAGGTACATCAAAATAACTAATACGTGCTGGTGATTATCAAAGTGGCTCAACTTGTAAGTGATGCATTTTTCGTTTCGAAATATTTCCACTCTTCGATTGCTCTTTTTCATATTTTTAACTATCAACTCAGCTTAGTCAATTTTCGACAATTTTGCAAATGTAATTCCGCATTAATCCAATGTCAATCGATGCAACACAAAATAAGCGATGAATGCAATATTTTTAGTTTTTTAACATTTAAATCATTTTCATAATCACCGGCCTATATGTGCACGCATAAAAAGATCGATCAATGACAAATAAATAATCAGATTAACGTATACGAAGTAAATATATGTCATTGTTAAACAAGGTTCAAATCAGACAGCTGGGTAATGAGAAAGAATTAACATAAAACAAGAGGAAAAAGAGGCAGAGTTGAGGCAAATCAATGAAAAAACCAACGAAGAACGGAATTAATTACGTCGTTGAATTTCACGATGAAACCATTACGAGTCGATCGTGAGATGACGTCAATGCGTTCGCTGAAGTTCATCCGATATTAAACTTCCCCCTCGATTAATTTACATTTTAAGAAACTTAAGAAGCTTAAGTTCTCGCCTGATATGCGATACAACACGGTTCGATCAAACTTAAAAAAAAAATCGTTATTGAATATCAAGTAAAAAGTTTCTCGATAATATTCGTCACTGATAAGAAATTTCCTCTCCCGCGAATACACACGAGAAACGTGCTACTTCTCTACAAAACACTCTCTAACGCGTGTAGCAAACGGTAGATATATTCAGTCACGGCCTTAAAATCTTTTGTTTCGGTGGTTTTAAATTTAAACGAAATGTAGAAATTCGCAAAAATTAAAGATTAAATTAAAGTGAAATATTGGCGCCAAGGGCACAGTGCGAGAAAATTTTTAAAACGCCTATAGGCGCCAAGGGCACAGTGTGAGAAAATTTTTAAAAAACATATAGGCGCCAAGGGGACAATTTTGGGCCGAGGAAACCTCAGACCAACGCGAAATATTCATAGCGACAGCGAATATCTCCTGGAGATAGATTCGCAGTAGTACAATATACGTGTGTTCAGACCAACGCGAAAAAAATTCCGCTAAGATTGCGAAATTGTAACTCTTCAAGGTGTTTTCTTCGCTGCCGCTTTAAATTCACGACGCTGAAAACAACTGACAAACGTAGAAAAGAAAGACACTGAAAATCCCACCGGATCAAAACTATGAAATATTCGCTGTGGCAACGAAAATTTCAGTGTCAACGAACAGACGAATTTCGCTGCCGCCGCGAATATTTCGCGTTGATCTGACGAGGTGAAACACGAGCATAACTTTCAACTATTAGAAACAATCGTTATCTTTCTCTCTCGAGGGAGAGGAAACCAGTTTGTTTCCTTTTGTCGAAAGCTTTTAATTGTAGAAAAGGGGGTAAGTATGGCGCGAAGACGTAAAAAGACGAAGGGGAAGTGAACATCCAGTACGAATGAGACGACAATTGCACAGGGATTAATTATACTTACAAGTGGTGCTGCCGGTCATTTCGATGATGCATTGTGCCTCGCGGGATATCTCTCGATTGTTGAAGGGTCGTACCCTCACCGCCACCTTTACCGACGACATTTTCCTTCTGTTTTTTAATTCAGCGTCGGGTCACGAACGGCGGCGGTGCTGACGATTGACTTTTCTCCTCGTTTCTCTGCGGGGAATAAAGAAGAGACGTCGTTAGCGGGCCCGGCAACACGGAAGAGAAAGACACGATCAAATTGTACCATTCACATCACGAAGCCACACGCTCCTGAATTAATTATAATGAATACACTTTATTCGAGATAGAATCTCATTTTCTCTGGTATTTTTAGAGTGTTAAATAATTTACGATGCACAGCCGTGGAAGAATATGGCGACGAGGAATTGTGCTTGAAGAAGAGCTACGTTTGCTCCAGTTTTCCTTTGGACGTGTGTGAGAAAAAAAGAAAGTATTGTATAGAGATAAAATTGTGTTTTTCTATAGGTTCAATTTTCTGTGAAGGGAGGAAGGTAAAAGTTTCGATCAAATTGTATTCCGGCGTGTTCTTATTATTTTGTAAAAGTTTCTAAAGTTACTCTCCACGAGAAATTTCTTTTCGTTCGTCGTGAAATATTTAACGACGTGTAAATAACGTGGAATAAAATATGATTCGTGCATAAATTGAATTCCAGAGGTATCATTTAAGGGAAAGATAAAAAAGTGGGAGGTTTCATTAAGAAGATAAAACTTTTTACTTCGTTTCTTCACGCGTGGAAGAAATTTTCACAAGCGTGTTCTTCTTCGATTGAAACAGGTGAAACGAATCTTTAAATGTTAGCGAAGCTTCCGTAAGGAGGTGAATAACGGGCGTGTCAACGTCGAAAGAACTCGATCGAGTTTCATGGTATATTTCGTTAGATGCTGATCGAATCTTGACGTCGCCGGTTTCGTAGCGTCGTCAATTACCCACCAATAAGAGTAACTGGTGCACAGTGGATGGCGTTGAAAATCGATATCCACCGACAAAAGGTTCGTCGATCGAGGGATAATTATCCCTCTACTCCCGGAACAATCGACAAACGAGCCAATAAACATCAAGCGAATCAACGCACAAACAAAAGGAACGAGCGGATTATCGTCCGTCCGCAAAGCCGATTAATTTTTCTGATTGCTCGAACTGAACTGTACGATATGAATGCTCCACTCGCGACACTGAATAAAGCCTTCAAGATTCTAGTTAGTATAAAAAAAAATGACATAAAATAGCGGCTTTGATAAGAATTTCCAAACGTTCGAGGATTATATTGACTTGTACTACTGCGAGCGGCGCACAGTTCTCAGACAATACTACTTAAGAATTTAACGTATAATTTTGTGTTTTTAATAAATCAGATACATTTGCAACGTTTATTTTCATTTTCATGTATAAATTGAAGTAAAGCGTTCAATTCATTAGCTATTTTTGAACAATAAAACGAATAAATTTGGAAATTTATACTTCACCGTTAAAAGTTGAATAAACCTTGTGTTTTCTAATTATCGTTGAATTAATTTTAGTAATAATTTTTGTCCTCGAGAATTTTCATAGAAAACAATATTATTCGACTTATGGACCATCCTGTATGTGTAAATTAAAATAGAAAAGTGCATAATAATTTTTATGTATATAAATTGTCTCATTATTTTTAACGATTGAAAACTTTTCATTAAACGATTGTCGATAATTTTCGAGTACCAGCGACAAATTATAATTACATCGGTTGTATAATCGTGCAATAAATCTTTTTTCATGCAGAACTACGTAACGACCGATAATTCGATGAAACCCGTTCATTCGTTTCGTTAATTAACAATAGGAGCAAATAATCTCTGTAAATAACCACGTTGATCAGTCGGTAATAACGAGGATAAGTTTGAACGCGTACGAAAACCATTCGACTCCACCGATAAAAGTATATTTTTAGACAGTACATACATACATAAACTATCCTACAGTGTGTAGACAATGGCTGACTCGTTCCATTACGAAGCTTATCGCGTTTTCGCCTATTCAGCTACATGGAAGAGCTGTATATCAGGTGTAAAATTAATTCCCGAGATTATTAGAATCTCTACGTGACCAACAAATTTATCTTGGCTGATCGGGTTTCCGTGAGATCAATTTGACGTTGTATCAAGGATATTCTTAGCGAACCATATTTGTAACTGCGACATTAGACTTAAAACTCCGATAACGACGCTGTAATAATAATAAGGATCGAATAATAAATATTAATCTTCAAGGCTTTATTTACATTTTCACAACTGACAAATATATTTTTCTTTTTTCACATCATAAACATTCGACGAAAGAAACGAATCTTTGCGGTATATATTAAATCAGAGCTTACTGTAATTTCAGAAATAATATTGTTGATAAAAAAATTTTTTGAAATCAATCTTCTCTGTTATTCAACTTTTCACAACTAACAAAGTTTGGTTTTTCACGTGATAAACACTCGACGAGACAAACGAATCTTCGCGGTATATATAAAATTACAGGTCACTGCAATTTCTGGAATAATATCGTTGATAAAACAGAGAATAAGAGAAAAAAATTTCTTAAACTGTGTCACCGGTCGAACAATAGTAGTCCATTACTCAGAGGAAGCTCCCCTTTGAAAACAACAGCTACGAATCGGGACAAAAGTTTGAATCATTGCCGTTGTCGAAGGATCAATACGATGCATTCGGAACAAGGAAATTCTAGAACCTGATCCCGAACACCGTTCCTCCTCTTGTAATTCAACATTCTGCGGAACGGTAGATACAATTAACCTAGTGAACAAACGTATTATTCTCTTTCAATTTGACCTCAAGGATGCTTGTTTTCCCATCTTTTTTCTCTCTTTCTTACGAGAAGAGAGAGAGAGAGATTCAGCTGATTGGAAAAGCGATAAAAGATGATTCCGATACAAAAGTCGTATTTACGATTCAATATTTTTTAAATGTCCTCTTCGAGGCAATACTCTCGGTTTAACCAAGAAGTTGGCCTTTGGAAACGAATGCAATAAAGGTAATCTGTCTACTGTGAACTCTTAATCCATTTATACTCGCAACAGTGCACAACGTAAGTGTCTTAATGGTGTTTCTTCTGTCATTTCGAATTTCTTTTCTTCGCACGAGAATTAAGCTGATTATATGTGTATATTTAAAAAAAAAAATTTTTCATGTTTAATTTTGAGTCTTTTTTTTTAAGAGAGATCGTCTTGATGAAAGAAAGAAGATTAGAAAGATTAGATATATCTCGAAATGTACTTTCGAGAATAATTTTCTGCAGGGTATGTAGATGTGAATCCTTCTCTCGTTATCTGATGCGAAAGGCAAACGAAAGTGACATTTCAATCGAAGAAAAAACCTTCCAAGGTGACGCAATTCTATTCGAGGCATTAGCTTACGTCAACGATACATCGCGGAAACGGTGGTTTGCTATCGTGAATGGAAAATTCTCGATGCTTTTTGCTTAATGGGTTTACTGAAAACAGCCTGGAACATCGATTGTAAAATTACTGGCAGTTTAGCGTCGATTCTGGAACTTGAAATTTTCCAATATTTAATTTAAAATGAATTTCGAATTTTATACGAGTGATTTCAAACTTGACATTCGACAATTCGGATTTATTAAATTTGGAAATTAAAATTCGAATAAAATTTGAACTTTTCAAATTAAATTATCGACGAGAAATGTTTCAATTCGAAAAAAGTTTCGTAACATTTTTAAGTTTGAAACGCGACTCGAATGATAATTGCTGTGCCATTTGGAAATTCAAGCGGAAGGTCGTAGTTCGAATATTAAAACTTCCCTTAAGTGGAACGGCTATATATCGTTATAAACGTGAATGGCGATTTAGAAAAATGGTTTGTCAAGTAGGAATACCACGATTTAATGGCAAAAAATTACAGATAACACGAGCATCCTCGATGCCAGAATAACGATATCATCCGTATCGCGGAATCAATAATCCCGGCCGAGAGTTGCAAAAACTGCAACCGTCGTCTGACCACGCACTGACACGAATCACTTGAAGAGCCTGCACAAGTACTGCGCTAAACCACTCGATTTTATGAGCCGCGATTTAAATCGCTGCAACTACTGTATAGTACTATTCTTGCTATCTGTACAAACGTTTCTCTTTATACCTCACTTCTGTGGAAGATTGATTGTTGGTTAAACATCGTTAAAAAGAGACAAACACATTTTAACATAATTCAAATGAAGACGATTAAAATTTTTTTTGTTGAAATATTAGTGTTGTAATTGAATTAATTAAAGGTAATATTGCTGTATCACATAAAGATTGTTCTTCTCATTCTTGGTATTTGATATTATTTCTCAGAATTGAATAGAAACATGATAATTACTCATAAATGTTATTCGGACTAATTAAAAAGTTTCTGTATAATACAACGGGATAAACTAGTATATGCTAATTTATATGTCGTGCTGTAATTATTAGCACCGTGTATTTTACTTAAAATCCAAACTGTTTCAATAGGATGGTACCGTAATTGTTCTAAATAGCATATAGAGCATTAGCGAAAAAAGGGGCATTGGTATCTGTTGAATATTCCGTTGAATATTCTTCGTTATTACAGCATGCGAGCTCTTTGTTGAAGGAATATCAATAGTATCTGGGGAATATGGGACGAATGCATCAAGAATGCGTGATGTGGAGGTATATTCGCGCACACTCTAAATACGTAATCTCAGAACAATCGTGTTACGGTGCTCTATATACCTCTAAAAATTACTGGAAAATAGCAAGTAGAAAATTTCAGCCTTCGTTCGTGAACTGAAACGCAACAGTCAGCAAGCTGGTAATTAACATTAAGCTTCTTTGCTCACGTATCGATTGGTACGCTTTACGACTAAAATAGATGGGAATCTATAATACCATAACTGAACTAAATTTATATTAAACTTTAATTAACAAGAACGAGAAATATTAAACGAACAAAGTGACTATTTTTAACCTCACATTTACTCGACGATAGTAATAAATTTTTAATTATATTTCCGTCACTCAAATGGTTCAATTTTCATTTTATCGTTTTTGAAAGTACTTCTATAGATATTACCAGATGTCGTCCTTGCGTGATCGTTTAATTCGAAACTTTATTAAGAATAAAATATTGATCACGAGAAAGAA